AGGCTGTCTTCAGGTCTTTGTTCGTTGATGTCAGGTCAGCCTTTCTAAACAAATATCTTGCCAGTGTAAATTTAGCAGGAAATGAAATAAATGCCTAGAAGAGTTTCGCGTAGCTAGACAAACAGATAATTCATGCGAAATCGGAGTAAAAAATTTAAATTAAATGTATTTTACACGAGACCACACGGTATAAAGTTTAGAAAAGGTTGAAATAAACAACAACAGGTGTTTATTGCATGGAAGTAGGGTAATCCGTATTATAATGTCTGTAATACAATTGTCATGACTTAATTAAAAAGCAAACAAACAGACACATTTTGGAAGGAACTTTGATAGATCGTTGAGATGGAGTCTAGATCGTTCGATTTACAACTAGTAGTTCAATTTGAAAGTGGGTGCTGGCGTCAGAGCTGGAAGGAAATACTGATCTTACGATTTGAAATAAACAGAATAATAAGGGTTGGTGTGGCTTTTTAAAAGAGAATTACGATTTTTTCCGACTAGTTTAGTTTTAAAGGGCTTTTGCGAAACAACAACAGGCTCCCGCAAAACGTTTTTCTTGAGTTAAGGAAAGAACGTTTATTCCAAATGGAAGCATTGATTTTTTTTGTCCATCACGTCACTGCTGCTGAATGCACTAAGAAAAATAAGGATCTCCATGATGTATGATATCGGCAAAAATTTCTTAAATAATAGGGCAGCCAAACACATAAACGTCTTTTGTCTTCCTTTAAGGGAAAGGTAATGAGTTCAAAATGTTGATAAACATTAAAAAAAAATTGTATACTTTGAAGTCGTTGACTTTCATCAGTTTGATATGTGCTCTTAAACTACAATTTGCTTAAGAACTGCTGAGAAAAGCAAATATTACTCGATGGACGCTGCCAGAGCCATATGCAATTACTCAAAACGTCAAAAGTTGATCAAAAGTTATTGAGCACGATCGGGGCAGGCGCACTTGCTTATCACTTCCGAATTAGCGTATCAGCGCGCGCAAAAAGCACTTTTCACCTACGTTGTATATACTAAAAACACTTAGATCAGTACATATTTACATATGACTGGATCATAACAATGCATTCAGGGGCTGGTCTTTATCACGGGGGAAGAGGAGGAGCATCGAAGGAAATTAAAAGAGTGTCAGAAGGTTCTATAATTCTCTTATGACCCCACTCACTGGCAGTTCATTGGCAGTCAATTTTCCATAGTCCCCTTCCTCTTAATGCTCTGTTGGCGGCAACTTTTCCCT